AGCCTTATGGTCCCCTGTGAAGACCACCCCCCTCACCCCCCAGTATAGCTTTATGGTCCCCTGTGAAGCTATTTTTATGATATCATTTGCAAATCCCATTAAGGTTCAGATGTTCTTTATGTAAATATTCCCACTAACCTAAAGAGACAGCTGAACCTAAGGCCAGGATGTTAGATAACTAAACACTTAAGGCAAAAAAAATTATGTCTTTTTAGCACTGGGATAACCTCATGTAAGTGTAAGGACTAATACAACCCCCACTATTTGTGCTACACTTACCTTTATTTACCCTGTGCCAGAAATTTATTGTTAATGTATCCCCCAATTCCAAATTTTGTAGTAACAATTACAGCTGAAAATAGTGCATATTTGCAACCTCTAAAATGGCATATTCTAATGAAATTCTACCATCTAATGTTATGTTGGTCCAAGGAATACTTTACCAACACGGGGAAAATACCTCCAAACAATTGTAATATTTTCCTTGAAAGAGTTTCAGCATACAGGTACAAGGCATTTCTCCATCTTACTACTAATTTCCCATTTGAAAGAAAAAGTCAATAGTCTGAGAAATTAGTCATATTTGATACAAAGTGTTCACCTAACACTAATGGTTGCAGTACCCATCAGACTGAAGTTTAAAATCAATCAAATGCTGAAAAAAAACCCCATAAAACCTATAACCAAAACTAAAAGCGGAAAAGCACTAACCCAGAAACAGTTCCACTGCTTAACACCTTAGCGTATGTATAACATCAAAATGCAAGAACTGCTGATTATATTTGCTCCAAAACTTACAGTGCATTTTCCGTATCTGCTATACTTTCTTCCATTTTCTGTTACTACGTAGAGGTAAATAAAGTTGTCATGGGATCCAACTGCAAGTAAGGTGCCATCTGCAACACAAAATATTAGATATAAATTAACAGAATGTTTGTTTTCCAAATTTTAATGATTTGAGATTTATCACTAAGACAATAGTCTCAATTAAACTACTGCTTACAAATTGTATTTAAGGATACATAATTGTTTACATTATGTTGTTTTTCAGTCAGTATCCGTTTATTTGCGCGTATGGTTTTGGGGCAAGTTCTTTCGCTCCTTTTTTTTAAGTAAGTGTCCAATGGACAGGGTGTAAATCCTCAGATTGCACTGGATTTCTGGAAATTGTCAACAGCTGGCAGGCTTGAGTTTTCTGCATCACAAAAAATGCAGAACAGTATTTACTCTATAGTTAGCTTAGCTCTGGAGGGGGGACTGCATATAAATCAGCACTAAATAATGTCTAAAGAAGTGGAGCATTCAAACATTATATACAGTTTTCTAACTTGTGTTGTTTCCATTTAGAAAAAAAGTACGTGGACAACAGTTGCCTTGAATCAGGATCAAACACCTCTAGTGTCAATGAACATTAGTGCTTTAAAATAAATTGTTGCGCTTGGCAGACGTGGCAGCAGTAGAGGAACATTCTGCCCACTGACATGTCATGTTATCCAAAAGCAAACAAGAAACAGATTTATGACAGTGTTCTCCCATCCAGTTTTAACAGAGAGGAGTCATCCTCCGATGATCTGTCATGTCATGTCTGAACAAGAGACTCAATACTGGCTTGGAGTCCATGTAAACGCATAGCAAATACTTTACAAACAGCTCTGAGTTTCAGACAGACCTGAGCTTAGTTTTCTGGTTGTGTATTAATAAACTTGAAAATTAACCAAGAAGTACATAAAAATATCACTGAAATAGTAAGCTTTTTACACACTTTCCTGTTAACCTGTCAACTATTTAGTTGAGAATGTTTCATTTTTCTGGGAGCAAAGCTAACATACATTATAACAGCACAGTTCAACGTGAAGGAAAGGCTGGGAAAGCTGACTGTAATGTCTGCAGTTACAAAACTCCAAGATTTAGCATACACAAACAAATCTGTAACCATGTATTCAGTTATATATTAAGCATCTTAAATGATTATTTTCAAAGCTCTGCCTTTTCTAGTGACTGGGGAGCAGTTTAACACCATTTAACAGAACAGACATCTCATTTATCAGCCATTATTCTGAATGTACAAGTCTGCCTACCTACTGAGTAGCGCATCACTGAGAGCTGTTCATTGCCATCAGTGTGTATTGAAACCAGATCCCTTGTTTCCGCATCCAAAACAAACCACCTAGAAAGAGGAGAATTCCAATGAGTATCACTTCCACCAATCAAAAAAAAGCAAGCAAAAGAGCAATAATCATTGCCTGCCTTCATCTTCTCATGCTAGCCCCTCAAGGGCAGCACAGTGAACATCTGTTTTTAATGGAATGCTTTTCTGGTTCACGAAGCAATAGAAGTTTCAGTGAATAATGTATAAAAGATTCTAAATAGAGCCCAGCTTTTCCCCCCTCCCTTGAACACTGTACTAATCACCAAAATGTCTACTGGATGATAAACATGCCACCAGATAGCTAATATGACTGCACCTTATCATCCTGAGCCTTAAGACTACAGCTGAATTTTAGTCTACTACTTCTTCCCCATTTTGAAGATCAGCTTTGATATAAAAACTGATCTTTCAATTTGTACACAGCAAAGTTAAAAAAAAAAAAATAGCAGTAGGGAGGGAGTAGAAAACATTTCCATACTCACTTTAAACACAAAGTATATTCTAATTAGGTAGTTTCCCCTCAGTTCTTTCCATTTGTATGAGTAATTTTATCAAAGTAAGAAGGATTAACCATTTACTGAAATTTGATGGTTCATAACCCAGCTTTTTTTTTTTTTTTATTTCCTGCTTGGATGATTTATAACTAAGGCAATTAATTGCATTTTTTAACAATAACTTTTAACCTGCAGTATTAACTATGAGGCACGTGTAAAAAGCTCAGAGAAGCTTACAAAAACTCAGTGGCCTGTATACCAAAATGGCCACTGACAGCAAGATCAGCAGACCCTGAGCATTTTGCAATGGTTCCAATGCTCATCTAACTCCTAAACACAGCGAACGTTATCAAAACAAAGACAATGAAAATTTAATAAAAATATATATACACATACATGTTTACTATGAAAACATAAGATCTCAACCTGGCTAAACACATTAAAGCTGTACTCAGAATTTAATTTCTTTGCTCTGAACTTCTGATCTTGCAACCGTGTGCATACGCTACAGCCAGGTTTCCATCCCGAGCGGCAAATGGTGAGTTCACGCAGTGTGGAAATGAGTAAAGCGATTCCACCCGCTGCCTCACACAGACACCCAATAGTGAACTCAGTGGAACAAACACACTGCAAAAGCTAGGACCCTCTATTCCAAAACAAACCTATATAAACTAAAACAAACTCCAGGAACAAGAGCGCACATCACTGCTTTCTATGGATGGAGATGAGATTCCAGCTCACGCTGATCCAGTGTCCGGCACTTAGGTATCTGGAAAGTGGCCTGGTCCCAGTGGCTTAAAACCAGCTTGTGGTTAGAGAACCACATGAAAGAAATTAAACGACATACACATAAAAAAACCTCAGCCCCACATGCCACGGACTGCTGAATAATCTGTGTGCAAGACAGATGGAAGCAGTGGAAAACAGCTAATATGTTTGCATTGGACAGCAGTGGAAACGAAGCTCAGAGTTTCTCTGCTGTAACCACTGCTGAAAGTGGACTTCTGATTTCTTCCAATCTACACACTGAAGCTTTGAAAGTTCTCTGAATGCATTAGGAATTACAAGCTGCTGTTCTGCTATTTAGTTCAAACTACACCCTGCTTTGGCCCTGCCAAATGCTTCACTAAAATGTTACCTGGTTGATAACCCTGATGGGGTGTGGATACTAAAGAAAAAAACAAATTTAAAACAAAACCACAAAACGGTTAGGTGGGGGGGCAGAGAGAGGGTACCTATGCCATTCTCCCACCATAGAAAGAAAAACAATCACTCCAACATGACAGCAAAATGCTCTCAAAGTCCTCCATCCTGTTGGGACAACAGAAGTGTGAAGAACACACATGGAGGCATCACTGAGTTGAAGTCATCTGGTTTTCAAGCAACACGAGAAGCTGGTCTGAAAGCCAATGCCCCACTGTCTCATTCTTATTTATGTTTTCCTGAATCCAGAACAGGGTGGAGGCTCCTCACTGCTTCAGCCCAGGTCAGCAACACACCTCTTGTGCACAGACAGCAAAACAGGAGATCGGAAGGCCTTTTGCTTCACCAGAAAACTCAGGCACTGTATACTGTAAAATCTATTTATCTAGCAAGACGACACTGCATGATGCCTGTTTGTTTATTATGAACAGCGTAATTGTGGTGCCTGGACATAAAAACTGATTATCAGCACAGTAACAACCAAAAGCAGACTTCTTCCACAAAATGGATGGTACCCCCTTCCCATGCCCTCCTGCAGGCGACCGTGCTGCACAGCGCTTCTGCCAGACAGCCAAGGGGAGGGCTGAGCCCTCGGTGTCCCAAAATACACAACCAGGGCAGGGCAGGGAGGCTGCTGCAGCAGAGACATGCCTCTTGCCCTGAAACCAGCTCTTTAGGCTAGTCTTTGAGGCTGTTATCTGAACCAAGTAATCCTCCAGTTAGTATTATGTAAAATGAAAAATACCCAACGCCTAAAACGCAACCGGAAAAACATGCCAACCCCCCTATTTTACTGAAAGTACAGATATAGTATTGTGTGGTATCGAACACAATGCAAGACTTCTGCTGCTCTTAAGAGTGCACAGTGAACTTCATTTGGCATTAGGAGACAACATTTTGTGACACCAGTCCTTCTCCAAAAATTTTTCTGAACAAGAGATACTAGCAGCAATCTCAGCTGACCGAGGAAACAGTCAGTGCACCATGACAATTTTTATATTAATTTAAGAAAGGAAGCATTGGTCACAACTAGTTCAAGCTGTTTCTTGATGCTTCCACAAGCTGTAATCAGACATGCTCTCTTCAGTCTTCCAAACTCTCCCAATGCCATGGCAAACACTGCAACTGCCAGCAAGAAAGCCTGTCTCCATGAAATGTGTCTACAGCAGTTCATCGGCACGCCCCACAGAGGCCCTTCTTGCAAACAGCTGGGGTCCACCTCGAGACTGTGCTTCGGGAGAGGATCTTCCTTCCAACACGAAGGTATGCAACACGCAAACGGCAGCTGACCCTGAAAAAGTCCTACCAGGCTGTGAAATGCAAAGCTTGGCTGCCAAGTGAACTTCCGATCCATAGATCATATGAAATAAATGGATGAATGGTATCCCAGCTGTAAGATATAGCTCTTTTGCTTTTTCTGTGTTTTATTGATTTTTTCCCAATTGTTACCGAAGATAACACGCTTAACTTGTGAGTTCATGTAAACAAGACAGAACTTTTGCCATTTTCATCCATTTCTTGTCTTCCCATTCCTTTGCTTTAAAAAATACCAATAACCTATGTAAAAACTATGCTTTTAGAAACAAAACCCCTTAAACTACTGTCTTTTGGAAAACAAATTCTGACCTGTGACAGACATTTATTACTGATAATTCACATCTGTGAATGCAGAATTTTCCTGATGAAATCACCAGGGAAACAGTATTCCAAAGTAGTAATATATTCTTGCACTTACACTTGCAATTCCCACATTTACTTAATACTGAATGTTGAACCTGCAAGGCATTAATCAGAGTGAACAAACCAACCCATCTTACAAGACTGGTTTTCTGGGATATTTAAGTTTCTTCATCTTAACACCACAACAGATGCTGAACTGGTATAAATCTCAATAGCTCTATTGACTGATTTACCTCCTTGTGGCTCTGGCTTACACTGGTCTTGTCCTCCAGCCCTCAGTTTTCTTAATAATGTTAGCATTTTTGTCAGAATCTCATTAGTCTTTTTTTCTGCAGTGCACAGCACTCGATATTCTACATGGTTAGTCACACAAAGGTCTACTTCCCTGCAAATAATACTACCGGCAGCATAGCAAAAGGATCTGTGCAGCGCTTTGAAAAACCCACTTTTCTGGTAGGATTTCTGATTGCCAGCCCTTTTAGTTTTTCAGCTGTGCATTTCCAGGAACCACAAAAAGCATTAGTTCTCTCCAAACCAGGCTTGATCCCAGACAACTGATCAGGCACACATAAAGTATTTAAAGAAGCGGTTAACAAAACCTGCAGCAGACCATTTGCAGGCAGCCCAAAAAGGGAAATGATACCAAAATACTCATCATGGCAAGTGGTACATGAAAAGCACATCAAAACCATGATGTGTTGGCCTGATAAAAACACACCACTGTGAAACAACAGCCAAGAATGGGAAGAGAGGTAGAAAATTCAGTTTTCTTCAGACGTCACAATTTTAACCATCAAACCCAACTTTCTTAATGCTCCATTCCCAACCCCTGTCTTACTGACCTCTGTACTGGAAGCAGAGCAGCACTAGAACGACAACAAACAGACACACCCAAGGTTTATTGAATCGAGTGAGTGAATCAAGGAAATTATTAAATAACTTGTTAAGGGCCTGAGACTATTTTCTCTCATACGTTAATCGAGGTACATCACGCAGCCCTCATTCCTTGGGAAATAACTCTCTTGGACTGGATTATCTGGCGCAGAAAGCACCACGTGATGCTGCTGGCTAGGCAGTAAATTTAGAACTGTTCTGTTTATCTTGATTCACAACTTCATTTATTTCTCATACACTTGTACACTTACTGGGTCTCATTTCAATTTAGTTTCATTTGTATATCTCAAACCTATCATTTAATAATGCAATTTCAGAACACAGTAAAATATAATGGTGAAAATATAACTGCTCAGTTCCAAGAACAGGGTTAAAAAAAAAACCCCACAAAACCAAGGCCATCATCATCAATTTATCCAACACAGTATAAACCGGTTGCCTCAAGTAATTAAAAAATATGAATTTAAACTGAAAAGTGCTGAACTGAAAAAGTAATGTTAAAACGCTCTGGGAGGGAAAAAAAAGAAGTCAAAAGCAAACACATGACTGAACGCTTCAGCCACTCAATATGCCTTCATTGTGCTTTGATGTAATTTCAAAAACGTCTAACAACTCTCAAGAAACATAGCCTGACCTTCTTTTCCCTTTTCCCTGTTTCAAGTACTATTAGGCCAGTATCTTCTGTTCTGTTTAATTAAGGTAGAAACACTTGTTCAGTTTAATGCTGTAATTAGACAGAGATGAAAAAACGGAAAGGTACAACATGCAAACCAAATATACAAGAGCTCAGCAAGATTTTTATGAGGCAGGTAAACTAGGTTTCCTAGCCTGATGTTATACCTAATTAATTTAGTGCAGATTGCATCTTCATCTCGGAGAAGGAAATGCCTTAAAAAGCATTTAACATTTCGTTTTTTCAGGAAAGTTTAAGGGTGTTGCACATGCTCAGCAGTTTCTAAAAACCAAACTTTAAATGGTTTTCAGGCATGAGGTTAGGTATAAAGAGAATTTCTAGGGGGCGAATTAAACACAATAAAATGCCCATTTTTTTACATGCACTATGCATTATTTTATCATCGAGTTGTCAACCATGAGATATAACTGAAAAACAGAATAAAAATGCTAGTAGATTTAATATCTGTTCCTCTCACCTTTCTAATGCTATGAATATCCTGGTTTTTCTTTTAATTGGTACTTGCTAAAAATCCATTGCATGAGACTCCTTTCTTGGGAGATGATATCAAGCCAGAGTCTGACTATGAATTAAAACAGATTTTTTCCACCACTGAAAGAAGCCTGAGTTAAAAGATTCAGCTTGTGTCTTGACAGCTTTCATATACGCAATGATTTCAGGAAGAATACGAACAGCTCGACAGCACAGCATTGCAGCAATGTGCCATGTTGAACTTTGTCTTACACAAAAATCAAAATCCTAGCCTGCTTTCCACGTCAATTTAAAAGGTTGCAAGTGTGTTTGATTTGGGAAAGAGAAAGATCTGTACTGTACCTGTCTTATAAACTAATGTAACATACACACACAATATTAAAATATACGATACTTGGTAAAGCCAATAAGGAGTGCTCATGGAAAACCCTGGGGAAAAAAAAGTTTAAAAAAAAAAAAAAAAAAATCCGGATCTGGGCTTTCATGAAAGAGTAGTTAAAAAAACCGAAACAGCCTAACAACAGTCAAATAATCCTTCTGTCTTCATCTAACCCATGTAAGAAAGATCTGTCGCCTTCTCCCAAGCTTTTTAGGCTACCTAACCTCAAGCAAAAAGCATAAAAAGCAAATGAATTCCAATATATGAGATGCATAGAATCAAACTGTCTGCTTTAAACTTCCAGTCACAACTCAGTCGAAAGGCGTTACCTGCCCGAGTGTGTTCCTATCGCGACCACTGCTCCACTGGGATGGAAATCAGCACAGTGCCCCGGTTCCTGAATGGAGAGGCACAAGACACATCATTCACCCGCCCACTTCCTTACAGTCAAAAACCTCTCCTTATACCAAAGCTACCCTAAAAGCCTGAGGTGAACTGACACAGGGAAAACCAATCAGTCAGCAGCATGCTTATAATCCTCAGACAGATTTCCTTTTAATGTATCAGTGACATGCACTACATGACCTTCTTGAAACGTAAAAAGCCTAAATCTCTGTGTAAAAAGATACTTCTGCTTGGGTATTAGGGCAGAACTAGCCAAAATATGAAGTGAACAATGACAGTGAGGAAAGACATCTAAAGCCAAACCTTGCACAATTGTTTGAATAATTGGGAAAAAAGTTAAATTGTAACAAGAACAAAGTTTTATTCAGCTTGGATTGTCAGAATGGCATCAGACAATGGTAACCACATTACAGTCTATACAATGTCTGATGAACCTGGTTAAGTTTACCAAAGCTTCCGAATAGCTGTTTTTAAAGCCATAACTACAGGATTTTTGCTTCTCTTGCAATCAGATGGGACAAGGGTGTTGCAGAAAACTAATGCTTTTTCCTATTTTCCAGCTTTATATTTAACATTAAAGGGTTGACATACATCTAGCAGCCTGGTCCATTCCAGTGTGTGGTCCACAGAGTTCCACATACAAACTTGCCTATCTTGGGCGCATGTTAAAAATAAGTCTTTGAAAGGATGGGATGCCAATCCCCAGAGTTCATCTGTATGTCCCTGAAAAGAAAACACATATGATTTAACAATGAATAAAATAAAGACTCTCTTAAAATAACACACCAGCAGGGAAAGCCTTTACATTTTTGGGTTATAGTTGGGGGGGAAAAAAAAAAAAGTTGTGCTCACCTGTACCTCTACCAGGAAACCATCGTTAAACGTTCCCCGCAAAACAAAGTTTCGTGAAGTACCCACTAAAAATTGATCTGCTTTTCCTTCTGCTACTGCTCTGATTGTTCCATACTGGTCAGGAACCTAGGAAAAGAAACATCTGTAAAACCACATCACACAGCCTGACAGGCGTTTATTTTTGAAGACCACAAATAGTGCACAATGACAGTACCAGAACTGCAGTTCTCCTAGTAAAAAGGAACAACCTAGTCATGAATACACTAGATCAGGACTTGACCTGAAACCTACCTCATTTATTTGTTCAGTACAGGCATACAAGATGATCTCACTCCAAAACAATCACAATTATGCCATTTTAATAAGTCTCGGTAGAAAAAATTACGAATTAAATTACATGGATTTTTAAGTGTCAAATACACTAAACAAATGTGCTCCGCAACCTTACAACTCATCTTATAAGAATAGGAATAATACATAGTTACTGTTGACTTTTCAAAACACATTGTGAAAAATAAGAAAAACCTTGCAGCACACAGTAAATGCTTCCTGATTTTTTTAATGCTTCCTGATTAGCCTTAAGTAAATGTTCATATGCCTTATGTCAGCAATGACTCTGAATTTTATTGAGCTTGTTTGTTGCATGCTTGAATTCTAATATAGTGTTTTATTTTACAGTGTGCATTTGTTTGGTTTTCTAAATGATTTATCTTTAGAAAATATACTAACTTCAATATTAACCACACAAGACAGAAAATCAATGCAATCATTCAGAAAGTTGTCTGTCAGGGTGCTGGTAATATTTCTCAACATAAAAAATCAGCTTTAACATAACATTATTAACAAAAGGATAACAGAGACACTGATATGAATAGGGTGTGTTGTGTTACTTAAGCCTAAGAGTTGTATATGATAGTCAATGCTTGCTTACTCTCAGCCATGTTTTCTAAAGGTCAATATTAGATTCAAGGTAATAACAAACTCTAGACAGAACTAAACACATGTTAAGGAAAAAATGCTGCTATAAATGGACACTGGATAAGTGGAATAAACCATTATTAGAACAACCAACACATTATTTCAAGAGGTTATTTATTGCCAGGGGGAAAAAAAAAAGTATTTTAAAATCCATAATATACAATTTTTTCCCAGTTCATTGCCATTTACCTAGCATTGCTATATAGCCAATCACAAAGATGGACATCTTCACTAAACGCCTGTTTTAGGATAAAGTTAAAAGAAGTTCCTCAACATAGCTTATTAATCATTACTTCTTACAGAATGCCCATATGTATCCTACCAATTGTGTGCCTTATGTCAAAAATTCTAGTAAAACACTCAAATCCTGGTAATGCTGTCTTTCTCCAGACAGGCAAACTTAACAAAATCACAGGCGATACCAAAGAATATCCTCAAAAAAGCAATGAATAAAATAAACTAAGGAAGGGCTTGGAGGAAAGAAAAACCTTAAAATTTCTGTTCAACTTGAACAGAGAAGAACTGAAACCTCATATAGGCTCATTTATAGGCTGAAAATTTAAACACTTTTATAATAAAATGTTGTCATCCACTTGAAAAGACAGCAACCAGAAGATATTTTATCATCCTAACTACCGATCCTCCGAAGGATGGGGAGGGCCTCTGTCTTGCTAGTCAATACCTTGCTCAAGGCAATTTCCTTGTCATTCTTGCTTTCTTACCTCAATTTCCCTTTCGGGATTCAAATCATGATCCCACAGGATGATCTTTCGGTCCTTCCCACCTCCAGTTAGCAGCATCCCATTCCTCATTTGACAGAGCGTGAACACACTCCCATCATGAGCTTTGATTTGTCTGCTTATCTGATATACTCCTACATGCACAAAAAGAAAATAATAAAGAACGTTACTCATTTTTTCACCTGGGGTTTACAAGAAGCTGTGCTTTTTGGCAGAAGAATAAAGTAACAGTGTATAATAAATAATTACGTTTGGACTGTCAGGCTATTAGTATTGCGTTAGTATTGCAAACACAAGGTGGTAGTGTTTTCTTACAGGATAAAAAGATAAAACAAAGGACCTGCCTTTCTGAATAGAAACTTTTTTGAGATTGATTGTTCTACAATTTGTGAAGGCAAGAACAACTATTTGCAAAATGCTTTCATTTATCAGCTATCCAAGGGAACACAGTTTTTCCTGATGCAAGAGAAACTGTCCTTTAGAGTCAATATAGCAAGTCACTGCTTGCTAGACAAAAAGTCTTTTGCGTTTCTTTTAATAAAATAATTATTTTCTAATAAAGAAACTCAAAGACTTTTTGTCTATAGTCTTATGGGAATAAAAAGCAAATTATTTATAGCAAAGTTTCCAGGATGCACGAACCTAATATCTAACGCTGGATGTTGCCTCACTTAAAAATAGTATAACCAGCATTTGGCATCTATCAATACAGCAGTCTACCCAAAGGAAAACACTAGGAAGAATGAGAGAGCAATGAGAAAATTAAACTACAAAGGTAGCAAAGGAAGCCTTTTGCATCCTACTTTGGTCTTCATGTGAAAAGAACTGCTGTAGAAAAGTATATTTTAAAAAAAAGCAAAATTCTGGTGCTTTGAAACTTGCATATTTTCAAATAGCAATGACAGAAAAAGCCTAAACCACCACACAAATAAATACCAGCTTCACTTTGCTGACTCTGCCTATGGCTCAAGGCAGTTCAAGTCAGCATGCTCTCACACTGTGAAAAAGAGTTTGAGATCAAGTCCCGTGACCAATCTAATGTAATAAACCAACTAAAAGATCCCATATTTAATATAGCCAATGTAAATAAATGTTCTATTTGATACCTTTTAAGATTATACTGGGAAAAGGTTATTTTTGCACAAGAACTTCAAAATTAAACATCAGATAATTTGTTAAATTACTTTTCCATTGCAGTTAGCTTGAAAGACAAGAAAAAGATTTACCTACAAAACCAGACTTACCATTAAAAATTTACTTTTTACATGAATGTTTTCCTGGCATACCAATTTAAACCAGTGTTTGAAATAGCTGCCAAGTAGAATAAATTATCCTTGAATTTATAAGTTACCTTAGGGCTCAACTGTGCCAGGTCTGCATATGTTGGGTAACAAATAATTTTCCTTTCTTTTACAAAAGCTTTGCCCTAAAGAGTTAGTTTAACCCAAATTTCAAATAAGATGTTTACAGCCAAGACTTGAGTATCTGCTAAACCAGACACTGTTACTGCATAACTGGTACAACTATGCATTATATTTATCCTTCACATACAAGTCCTATTAAGATCAGCTTCAACACTTAATCATATTCCTCTGACGCTAAGCATGGTACAACATAAGCCTTAAGAGGCAAAGGTAGCCTGCAGAATCCTCAAACTGATCCTACAGCCTTTTTCAAATCTCAGGATGAAAAGAAAACTGATTAACTGCACATTTTTTTAAATGCAAAACATTTAGATAAAGTAGTTTTCATTCATTTCAGGCACAGTCTCATTAATTATTGAGAAACTCTTCATTGCTCTTAAGTCACCAAATTCATGAGACTTGAAGGAGTTTAGTACCACCTGTTTGTAATAGGAAGCGTACACCCTTAGTCAGGCCTGTTTCCTTACTCCTTTTCTAATGCAATCCTTTATGTTTGTCTTCTACAGACTATACAAAACCTGCGATTAACCATGAATGTAGCCTACCTACCTTTAGGTCCTTTTCCTGGAGTAGATTCTACAGTAGTTTTGCCCCATATAAGTATTATCCCACCTGAGTCTCCAGTGAGCACATCACCATTTCCCAAAAAAGCCAAACACTGAACAAATTTGGGTTTTTCATATTTCTGAAACAAAATAAGCAAAAGAAAGGGATAATTACTTGTACTCTTTATGTAATTAGCATAATGTATCCACACCCACACACCCTGCATACATGTAAGCGGAATTTAACCTCTTTTGTTTGTTTACCTCTCTGCTCAAACAGTACATGGTAACAACAGAGCAGATTTATAGAAAGCATGAGCAGATCATTCCATTGATTTAAAACTGACCTGATATCAAGACATTCTTACCCCAAATATCCCTTGCTTCCTTGATAATGAATTGCCACTCCAGGTCCAGAAAAATATATGAGATTTGCCACATGTTATTATGGTATTTGCATCAGTTGGATGGAATTCTACAGCAAGAACAACTTCATTTGTAGTCTGAAATAATAACAGAAATAATATTTATTCAGATGGGACATTAACTACTAGAAACACATGTAAAATCCCAAGTTTCAGAACAGAGATATGAGGAACTAGACAGCTCACTGTATGCCTGAAAGAATCTGTAAGTGTTCCGTGACAAATCAACTGTCTGAACGATCGCACATATCACTTTACATATATTGATTTTTTACATTCGTAAGAGATCTTTATAAAACTTCATTAGAGAAGTCAGGGTTTTACATGCACTTTTTAAATCACAAAAGCTTCTACCCTCTGGAATAGCTAAGACTTCTGCCATGGGAAGTGAATGATGTGTCAAAGACTTTTTTGGGTTGAAAATCCTGCTCAGTTTCTACACAGACTAGTTTGCTATTCTGGATAACAAAGCTGTGACAGAGGCAACTGAGACAATGGTAACATAACAGGATTATAGTCATCATGCTCTTTCTGAAATTCTGTAAGAATTCCTTTGGGTTCTTTCTTCCTCTCCTTTCCTCCTCATGGAAGGAAAAAAGAAACCTGCATAACTCAAATCTCTGAAACGGAGTCCCACTTTTGTATTTTCACTGGCTGCATATACTGTTACTGAATTACTAACACCTCAGTGAGTATTTCATCCTTTACCAATAGACTTTACAAACATAACAAACTGACAGGCATTTATCTAACTTCTAATATATATTCAACCAAACTGCCTTTGAAGACAGCCTCCTGGAGGCAATGACTCTCCAAGACACTTAAGTAAATGCATCAGTGCATTTAGTACTATGGGATGTAACCCCATGCTTTAAAGGAGTATACATAAAAGTGCTGCGGAACCAGCACCTGTGGGAGTACCCTTCTCCACCTCACCATTTGTGGCTCACTTTAGGAAAACAACCTTCTTAAGTTTCATTTTTTGTTGATGGCCGTATTTTTTGAATTATGCTTCTCACACACAAGTTCCTGCACACAAGCAGATCTGCTGTATTCACAAATCGTATGGAAACTAAGGACTGAAAAATTTAATGGAGTTCAGCTGAGAAAAGGCTTCCGTTTTGCACCCTAGCTCAAGGGATGAAACTCTGCTCACAACACCTGTCGTGGAAGGTGCTTAAGATACTGCAAGATCAAGTCCTAAACTTGACTTCAAGTACTGAAGGGCAAGCTGTCCCTGCCAAATTGTTTTTAGTCTGAAACACCAAGGAGCTCCCTGGAGAGTGAAAATAGTCAAAACATAATGTCAATAAAATGGGAAATACAAGGCATATGCCAAATAGCTTCACATTAAATATCAACAAGGAAATGAAAATACTGACATAGAATTACATTAAAACTTACAAGATAGAATACGATTAGTACTGGTCAACATAATTTAAAGAAAATGGGTCAAACCAACCTGATTTTGTTATCTGAAATTGCAAGTTTGTAATCATATAGACATATATGCTCGTGGAGTATTCCACTTGCTGACTCATGATTAAAAAACACTCCGTTCCACATCCATGTAATATCTCCTTGCTTGATACCGTACAATGCAAAGCAAGACGTCTCAAAATATGGACTTCAATAGCAAGTTATTATTGGATTGGGTGTTTCCAGTGGAATCAACTTTACATGAACACTGAGCGCAACACCTCTGAACGCGTCTCATCGATCAGAAATTTAGAAGGTTATGAAAGAAACAGGAAAGCAAACAAGACTGCAATCCACAAAAGTACTAGTGGACTTCAAATGAGAAGAGATGCATGTAGTGAGAATTAAGGTCTGGAACTCAATTCAGACAAAAAAGAAAATAAGGAATGTCTAAAAGTATTTTTTTTAAATAAACAACTACAGACTGAATCTTAAAGTTTCTTAAAGTTCCCAGGATTTTTTTTTTTTTTTTTCAATTAGGAAAATATTAGAGAATTGCTTTATTTGGATTGGCTCTTAGGGATGAGTAAAATGTGATTATAAGCACTCCAATATTCAAACCCCTTCCAATATACAAGTTAAGAATACGTTTCTTTTGTGCCCTTACACAAGCCAGCAGTATTACACAGTTGCAGTTTCCAAGTAAGATCAAATGTGTGTCTCACAAACTGTTGTATTTATGGGAATAAAACCACTTGTATTTCAGAATATTAATTTGTGCAATAATTACCTTTATTTCTGCTATTTTTGATTTCCTCTGCCAATCCCATACAGTGAGCATGTGCTCATTAGAGTCATCAATTACACACAAATGAGTACCAGAATCCTAAAGGAAAAAGAAAAAATAAGTGCTGACAAAGTACTATCATACCCCATTTAGAAACAGTGCAGGGCAGTAGTATTTTAAAAAACCACAAAGGTACAAATATAAATTAAGCAACTCCTTTTAAAGTAATTGTAAGATCGTTATATCTGCTATTTTCCTTTTCTCTTAAAGACAGACATAGATTTTTGCATAATCTCACAAACCAATGACCATGCTTCAAATAATATTCTAGAAAAGCTTATCTTTCCTTTTTAGTTTGTTTTTGTTGTTGGGTCTTTTTTTTCTTTCTTGTTTGCAATATCATGCTAGTACCAAAGAGGTTTCTCTTTTTTCTACTGTGCAAATATTTTCATTTTCCTCAGGTCTCAGAGGACAGACACACAGCTCCACTTGTGGGTTTTTTTTTAAATGTCACCATCACATACACACAACTTTATCAAATTTTGTAACCACATCTCATTTTTTTCCTCACAGAGCATTAAGTACCAGCAGTTTCATCATGTAGTTGGTAAAACTGCAGCAAAGGCAACACTTTCTGAATAAAATAATGCTTACAGAGCAGGAAGACTGGCGTCTATGGTATTAAATAATTGAAATGGTTTATTTTGAACAATTTTACCACAAAACGGTAAATATGGCTAAACAGAATTAAAAGAGCATACAGAAAATCTTAGAACAAAAACATACTTATTCATAGCAACACACACTTTCACAAACCAGTTGTTCCAAGGACATGTGTAGAAAGATTTGGAGGAGACCTTATTTATTTTAAAGTTGATTCTTGCAGTTCAACCACATTTTCTAACAAATGATGAAAGTAGAGCTGGCTGAAATATTTATTCCCAAATACTAATACTATTATGAGCAGTAACATACAAATATACATGTCAATTATTAAGTGTAAAGACACCCTGAAGGCAGCACTGGCGATATACATAGCTCGTGTGGGTTAATGGAATTATGTGGTAAAAACACAGTTCTAGATAGTTCTAGATTCACTGTTTCAGTGCAGTGAGGAATCATACGAGATTGTAATAAGGTATCAAAATCAGTTTCAGCTCCAAAAGAAACTACTAAAAACTAAAATCTAGTCCTCAAAAATACCTTAGTGGTTTGGTTGGTTGGTTTTTAAAATGATGGAACATGTATTTATTCAGTTCGGAAAAAAAATTCTATCTGAGTTTAAAAGTTTTATTGATTTGTTAAGAGTGACAGCAATGACAGCACTCCTCTCACATTATTTAATTTTACTTATGCTATCCTCTTATTTAAAAAAAAAAAAAATTATTTACTGAAAGACAAAACCTAGATACAGAATCATAGAATCATTTAGGTTGGAAAAGACCTTT